TCCATAAAACCTTAGAAAAATCAGTCTTGAGATATTTCTTGGCCCAGTCTTGACGTTTCAGCTTGTGTGTCTTGTTCAGTGGTGGTCGTCTTTCAGCCTTTCTTACCTTGGCCATGTCTCTGAGTATTGCACACCTTGTGCTTTTGGGCACTCCAGTGATGTTGCAGCTCTGAAATATGGCCAAACTGGTGGCAAGTGGCATCGTGGCAGCTGCACGCTTGACTTTTCTCAGTTCATGGGCAGTTATTTTGCGCCTTGGTTTTTCCACACGCTTCTTGCGACCCTGTTGACTATTTTGAATGAAACGCTTGATTGTTCGATGATCACGCTTCAGAAGCTTTGCAATTTTAAGAGTGCTGCATCCCTCTGCAAGATATCTCACTATTTTTGACTTTTCTGAGCCTGTCAAGTCCTTCTTTTGACCCATTTTGCCAAAGGAAAGGAAGTTGCCTAATAATTATGCACACCTGATATAGGGTGTTGATGTCATTAGACCACACCCCTTCTCATTACAGAGATGCACATCACCTAATATGCTTAATTGGTAGTAGGCTTTCGAGCCTATACAGCTTGGAGTAAGACAACATGCATAAAGAGGATGATGTGGTCAAAATACTCATTTGCCTAATAATTCTGCACTCCCTGTATTAGGTCTTACATGTTCTCCCTTCTTTTCCTATTCTGTGTGTTTTGGATAGAGGTTAACACAGAAAAGAGACCCACAAACACATATGTGTTTCTTTCATTCTCTTTACACTTACATTGTCCATAGCCATTATTACAATGTACATACCTGGGAAGTTCCATACCAACCTGACACTGATTACCATTTCAAGGGACACTATAGTCACCAGAACACAGCTTATTGTATTTGTTCTGGTGAGTAGAATCATTCCCTGCATTTTGCAGTAAACACAGTTTTTTTCAGAGAAAATGCAGTGTTTACATTACAGCCTAGTGATAACTCCACTGGCCACTACTCAGATGGCTGCTAGAGGTGCTTCTTGGGGCAATGCTGCACAGTGTGACTGACATTCACTGTCTCCACCCTCTGCATGCAGACACTGAACATTCCTCATAGAGATGCATTGATTCAATTAATCTTTATTGTGCTTGGTCTGCCCCTGATCTGCCTACTTGACAGTCTCAGCCAATCATATGGGAAAGCAATGTGATTGGCTCAGAACAACACTTCTGATGATGTCAGCCAAGCAGACGGATCAGGGACAGAGCCAACAGAAGCAGTCTGGAGTAAAGGTAAAACTTTACCTTTACCTAGGAGGGCAAGGAGGGGCGGGGGAGGAGGAGCAAAGGGACTACATGGAGATTTTGACACTATATGGTCAGGAATACATGTTTGTGTTCCTGACCCTATAGTGTTCCTTTAAAAATAATCGAATCACTCCAAGTTCCAGTATTGGTCAATATAGAAAAGTGGCATCAATATCTGTTTCCCAATAGACAGCTTGCCTTCGTTTAGTCCCTGCTTAAGTCTCAAATATTTTTTTTTGCACGTTTTCTCTTTAAAGATAGGATCTATAGCATTTGCGTATAAGACTGATTACAAATGTTACATATTCTAGGGCTGTGAATTTTATGAGACTTTTTTTTGGAACTGGGCCCTCATCATTTAATTATACACATAAATATGCTTATCTATGAATTATTTATAGCCCATGTTCACCTCTATTGCCACATCATAAACAAAAAAAGGAAAATTAACACTTTCTAATTTCAGAAGAGAAATCATACTGTATATCACACACACCTATCACTCAACTGGTTTTAATAATTCTGCTGTCTTAACAATTAGATCGCAGCAGTAAGTACACAATTGACCATCTGAAGCACATACATTTAAAGGGACACTATAGTCACCAAAACAACTTTAGCTTAATCAACCAGTTTTGGTGTATAGATTATGCCCCTGCAGTCTCACTGCTCAATTCTCAGCCATTTAAATCACTTTGTTTATGAATCCTAGTCACACCTCCCTGCATGTGATTTGCACAGCCTTCCTAAACACTTCCTGTAAAGAGTCATCTAATGTTTATCCTTCATTTATTGCAAGTTCTGTTTAATTTAGATTTTTTTATCCCCTGCCTTGTCAATCAGAGCCAGGGGATCTGTACATAGGATGACAATAAGCTGTACGCTCCATAGAGTTGGGCTTTATGGCAGAAGAAAGCCATTACTTTCAGCAAAAAACAAAATGGCATGTTTTGAGCTTGCGAAAAAAAGGCATGTGGGAGACTCCCAAAATGTATGGAGGAAGGTGCTCTGGTCTGATGAGACTAAAATTTAACTTTTCGGCTATCAAAGAAAATGCTATGTCTGGCGCAAACCCAACACATCACATCACCCAAAGAACACCATACCCACAGTGAAACACGGAGGTGGCAGCATCATGCTATGGGGATGTTTTTCAGCAGCCGGGACTGGGAAACTGGTCAGAGTTGAGGGAAAGATGGATGGTGCTAAATACAGGGATATTCTTGAGCAAAACCTGTACCACTCTGTGCGTGATTTGAGACTAGGACGGAGGTTCACCTTCCAGCAGGACAATGACTCCAAACACACTGCTGAAGCAAGCGAGTGGGTTAAGGGGAAACATGTTATTGTGTTGGAATGGCCTAGTCAAAGCCCAGACCTCAATCCAATAGAAAATCTGTGGTCAGACTTAAAGTTTGCTGTTCACAAGCGCAAACCATCCAACTTGAAGGAGCTGGAGAAGTTTTGCAAGGAGGAATGGGCAAAAATCCCTGGGGTAAGATGTGGCAAGCTCATAGAGACTTATCCAAAGCAACTTGGAGCTGTGATTGCCGAAAAAGGTGGCTCTACAAAGTATTGACTTTAGGGGGTGAATAGTTATGCACATGCACCTTTTCTGTTATTTTGTCCTATTTGTTGTTTGATTCACAATAAAAAAAAAAAAATCTTCAAAGTTGTGGGCATGTTCTGTATATTAAATGATGCAAATCATCAAACAATCCATGTTAATTCCAGGTTGTGAGACAACAAAACACGTAAAGGGGGGTGGATACTTTTGCAAGGCACTGTATATATGGAACATAATTTAAAATTAAAAAAACCTTAAAAGAGTTTGAGAAATTAAAAAGTTGTGCAGGGCATGTGAATGTCAAAATACTGTTAGCTTTTACTGCAATAAAAAATACATATTTGTGTTCAGCTATGTCTCACGGGTATTATAGTACCCCCATGTACATGTTTTATGGGGATTTAGAAACTTACAGGGTCAAATATAGAGTTTTCCCCTTTTTTGTTTATACACACTGACATTTACCATATTAGTTTGCTCGGCCTATGGTGCCCTTGAGACTGTATGGCAGGCCAGGAATGAAAATTACTCCCATCTAGAGATGTCCCGAACAGTTCGCCGGCGGACAGTTCCCGGCGAACATCGCATGTTCGCGTTCGCCACGGCGGGCGAACATATGCGATGTTCGGTCCGCCGCCTATTCCATATCATTGAGCGGCTAACTAAAAATCCAGACGGGCAGGCGGCACCGCCGAGGGAGCACTGATTTGTGAGCACTCTGCTCAGCTCCCTCGCGCGCTGCAGAGTGATGCCGGGAGCCGGAATATGACGTCATATTCCGGCTCCCGGCATCACTCTGCGGCGCAAGGGGTAGCTGAGCAGATACAGCTCACTAATTAGTGCTCCCTTGCCGGCGCCGCGCACCTGGATTACAATTAACCGCCCATGTGCCTGCATGCCTGCCTCCTTCCCTGCAAGAAAACCCACTGGACCTCAGGTAAAAAAATCCACCCAGATCTTCCAAAGGTAGGCTGGGTGGATTTAAACTAAAATATAAAAAATAAACTTTATTAATTAATGTTTGGGGGGGGTGGGTGATTGTGTGTGTCTGGCTGTCAGTGTGTGTGTGATTGTGTGTGTATGTCAGTGTGTATCTAAGTGATTGTGTGTATGTCTGTCTGTCAGTGAGTGAGTGTGTCTGTCAGTGAATGTGTTTGTTTCTGAGTGATTGTGTCAGTGAGGCCGCCTGTGTGTCTGAGTGATTGTGTGTGTGTGTCTGTCTGTGAGTGAGTGTCAGTGAATGTGTGAGTGTCTGTCAGTGAATGTGTGTGTCAAATCACTCTGTCTGTCAGTCAAAGTGTGTGTTAGTTGTTTAATAGGAAGAGGTGTGGCATTGACAGGAAGGGGTGGGGCAAATGTAAATTAGGGGGTGCCCAAGTTCTGTCATGCCTAGGGCAGTACAGATACTAAATACATCACTACTCATGGTATACCATTTTCAAAGGTAGACTACCCAGGGTATTCAAAATGGGTATGATTGGTCATTTTTAGTAGTCACTGTTGATATCATCGTCATTAATATAGAGGTAGGAGGGAGGGCCCAATCATAAGGAAGAAGTTAAATGTTAATTTTGGGTATACACACAGACTATTTTACCTTATGGGATTCTCTTCCTGATGCCTATTTATGGCAATATTAAATTGTTCATGAACTTTTATCGATGAAACTCTTTTTTTGTTAACTAATAACATTTATACAAAAAAGGATATGCTTACTATATGATACACTAGAAAAACACACCCTCAGAGAAGTGTACCTCACACACACACTATAAAGAATAAACACAAGGACGTATATATAAAAACCCAAAGGTGATATATACAAATAGAGGGTGGTTGAGAACAATACAACCTGAATATGGCTGAAAATGAACGTGGAATCTATAAAATAGCAAAATACAAAATATAGTGAAGTAAGTTAGGCAAAATTGGATTTGCACATGGTAGAAAACTTACAAGAAGGGAGTAGTAATCACGCCTGTCATCCTGTCAGGGGTACTTTCCACATTGGAGACCGAATATATATGGCGAGGACTGACAATATCACTTTTTCTTCAGCTCAGGAATAAAATATCCCTTTTTCCTTCAGAAGAAATCAGAAGTAAGACAGCATATCTCCATAATGAAATAATAAATAAAAATAACAAATGGACTATAATAACAGCTGTATATTAGCATAAAAAGTCCAAAAGTAGTATCCAACGCGTTTCGTCACTATGGTGACTTCCTCAGGGATATCCCTGAGGAAGTCACCATAGTGACGAAACGCGTTGGATACTACTTTTGGACTTTTTATGCTAATATACAGCTGTTATTATAGTCCATTTGTTATTTTTATTTATTTTATTTTATATTTTTTTAATTTTGTGTACCTCCATTTTGGGATCTCTCTCTACTTTCACCTGGAGACCCGGCCATTACTTCATTATGGAGATATGCTGTCTTACTTCTGATTTCTTCTGAAGGAAAAAGGGATATTTTATTCCTGAGCTGAAGAAAAAGTGATATTGTCAGTCCTCGCCATATATATTCGACCTTCAATGTGGAAAGTACCCCTGACAGGGTGACAGGCGTGATTACTACTCCCTTCTTGTAAGTTTTCTACCACGTGCAAATCCAATTTTGCCTAACTTACTTCACTATATTTTGTATTTTGCTATTTTATAGATTCCACGTTCATTTTCAGCCATATTCAGGTTGTATTGTTCTCAACCACCCTCTATTTGTATATATCACCTTTGGGTTTTTATAATAACATTTATAGCATGGTATTTTACAATATTAGGCTGATATCACATGTCAATAAAGCTGCTCAGCAAAGGACACCAGTAATGATTCAACTAACAAAGAAGACATGCCCATAAGGCATAGCAATCCCTACTTTCACATCATCAATAATAATATCATCTTAAAAGTAGGACACACAAAACAGATAGCCTGTAATCAAAATTGGGAAAAACATTTAGTATGCAAAAAAATAAAAAACAGATCCATTTACATTTTTGCATCTTTGAACCAATTCCACTGTAAGCAAAATATTTGCTTAAATAAAGGGCCCTTGAAAGATTTCCTTCCTGTGTAAGAAAAAAAACAAAAGAAACTGGAATATTCTCTTTCATCATGATTTTGGAACAAAGTGGTTTTATTAATATAGCTCTTTGCCAAAAATTACAATCCAGGAAAGAAAAGACGTGGTACTACACCTGTACATACATTCTGCAGGCTGTTATCAAACGATTAAATACAATTATCCATTTTGCTCAGTTTTGGCTTCAAGGATTGCACGTGGAACATATTTACTGCTCAGATGGGTATTAGCATGTATTTAGTGTTATAAACCTGTTTCATTAAATGTATCAGTCTTGCCATTTTCGTAAGTACATATACTCTCCAAAAAAAATGTATTGCAAAAATTAACTGCACAATTTAGGTTTTATAATTATGTTTATCGTATAAGACCGTAATAAGTAAAATATATATATATATCACACACTTATAGAAAATATTTTGGGTAAAGAACACTGGACTATGTAGTGGCTATAGTAAACTACACTCTAATTATATATCTCAATATACTGTCTTCTCACTGTCAGTCAACAGTTGCCAGGGATCTGAATTAATTATTATTATTTTTTTTTTTAACCCCCCTCCCGACTCAACCACATCTAATTTTAGCCCTAGTTGCCCCCAAATGCCCCAAGCCCCCCATATTACCTATTTTTTAATTTTTATTTTTTGCCCGGACCTAGGGTGGATAGATGAAGTCCCTGTGGGACACGTTATCTGCCCACACTAGATAGCGCTGTGAAATTCCTGCGCATGCTCAGGTAAACACTTGGGAATTCGCTACAGGTTGCTCATTAATTCGTCAGGCTGCTCACTGTTTTCTAGACATGCCCCTACTCGCGATATAGCGAGTAGGGGCAGATTAATCACTAGTACTAAGTAATCTTTACTTAGTATTAGTGAAGTTGGCTGAAAGACCACTTTAGGTCTTTCAGCCTTTTGGTAGATAGCTCCCTGATACCGTGGGAATAAGGGAGCTATCTACTAAGCGGCTGCAAGATGCAGCGCAGCACGGATCGGATCGGAATTTCATTCATTCAAATGAAATTTCGAACCGACCTAAAAGTACCGATTGTCGTCCTAACATGAATGAACAAACTGTTCTTCTTCTGTTTGGACGAAATTGGGTAGTTTTTAAATGGCAGGATGTTCGGGAATACTGACAGGAAGCATCGCGAGATCACGGAGGAAAAGTGAGAATTGTGGGGAAATGCTGTCAGGCTCTCTCTGCATGAGAGATACAGCAACCCAATGCTCAAAGAATTATAATTTCGAATTAAAGTACTCTTGCTGCTGCCTCTCATTTTCAAATGCCTTTTATTGTAGTGGTTTTGCCCTGCCTGACTGAGTTTGGTGTCGCTGGCTACCTCTGCAGACTGTCCCTCTTTCCCCCTATGAAGGAAGGTCATTGATGCTAGAGAGTGTGTGTGTGGAATGCTTTGTTCTTGCCAGAGTAGAAGGAGTAAGTGGGTGGTCAATTAACCACTAACTTTTTAATTTCACTTAAAATTACTCCAGGTCCCCTTTTTTTAGTATACAAGAAAACAACAGGAAAATATTACTATCGATCATTATAAAGTATAAGTTTCTCCTGTTTATTTTTAATAAAGATATGTATTAAAGGTACACTATAGTCACCAAAACGTTAGATTAATGAGCAGTTTGGGTGTATAGATCATGCCCCTGCAGTCTCACTGCTCAATTCACCACCTTTTAGGATTTAAGTCACTTTGTTTATACAACCCCAAGCATATCCTCATTGCATGTGACTTACACAACCTTCCTAAATACTTCCTGTAAAGAGTCATCTAATGTTCTGTGTGAGTCACAGCTGGAGAGGTGTGGCTAGGGGTGCATGGACAGAAACAAAAGTGGTTTAACTCCTAAATGTAAAATAATTAAGCTATGAGGCTGCAGGGGCATGATTTATACACCAAATTTGCATCATTAAGCTAAAGTGGTTTTAAACCTATAGTATCCCTTTTGATGTCATTTTGGCAACTCAGGACTGGCATTGCAAAAATGCATGATATTGCGCTTCCATTAGGACAGGCAATTATGTACTCATGTTTGCATGTTAGCACAGTGAGTGTCACCAGTTTTACTGTTGTTTTGGCTGGCCAAATTGCTGTCCTGATTTTTGATTTGGAGCCGGAATACGCCAAGCTGAACTTCAACATGAACATCAATTCTGTTTTCCCAATTTTATTTTTTTATGCCGAATTGTTTCAGAAGATCCACATTTTTTTCAACCTGCACCAGTCGAAAAATATCTCTTTGCACTTTGGGGCAAAAAGAAATGGCAGCTGATACAAATTTTAATTGCCAATGGTATGTGAATGATTGTTCTTCAATGTCATTCAATAATCTGTGAATTATAGTGAATTAACCAGAAAATAGCAAACTTAAACCTTAAATAGCAGAGCTACAAATTTCTACAAATTGTAAAACTGTAGTAAGTTTAATAACCCTTATGCTTTGATGACTTGATTTTCTTATGGTCATTGAGGCATTTACTTACATTGATCATATGATTTAGGACAGTGTTAAAAAAAATTAATTCTACAAGCAAGTGAATTAAAAAGGTAGATGCAATTAAAGGGATTCTCCAGTGCCAGGAAAACATATTAGTGTAGCGGAGTAGCAGGGGTTAATCCAAGGATTCTCCGCTGGAAACAAAGATTCAGCATACAGAAGTATAAAACACAGCATAATCCCTCTCCCCAAGGACTAGACGACACATAGTCTGGGAGTCAACTGGCTTTTAATGCACAAGCTCTGCTTCTATGTGTTTTTCCCATGCAAGGGAGGCAACTTCCATAATTATTACAGTATCCAATCACATAGTCAGTACCTCCCCCACATCTCCTCCCCTTAGCTTAACAGTTAAACTTATTAACATGTACACATTTTTCCCCAATTCTTGGATGTACCCCAAATACAGGGGGTACACCTTTAAATGAGGGATCCCCTGGTAGCCCTGATCTGGGTGAGAAACATACTCAAAAATTACCTAGATCGGACCAGGGGTTCGAGAGATATTGAAGGGAAAAAATTTGTCCGATCACACGGGCATAGTAGCAGAAAATAGTTCCATGAGTTCTGGCCCTGCGTCGGTCTCAGTTCACGTATAAAAAGTCCCGAAATTCTTTGCCATCTATGCTTGACTTTGCATTCGGATGAATCCCCTAGTTCGCGGGGCTACCGAATGCTGGGCTGTTCGTGCGTTTTATTCGTCCCTTTCCGGAGTGCTGGAGGTCTTAGCGGTGCTTGGTTAGTCGAGTGTCCGATTTGAGTTCCAGACACTCGACGACCAAACACCGCTGTTCATGCGTAAGATGGCCGCCACCACGTGTTCGGCAGGCGAATGGTGGCTGCACACGAACCTCAATTACCAGCCTTTGCAACATTGTTGCCTTTGGTAATGAGGGACACACGACTACACTGGGGTGGTCCCTCATTCGGTATTTTTACACATTTTCGTGGATAATGCAATGGATGTAGTTCGTGAACCGATTGCCTGAAGATAACCGTCCTAATAGCAATACGGCCATTTTAATCCAAGTTCATTCGAATCTCGAAAGTCCTTTCTCAGTCTCTTGGTGGCTAGGTTTGCCACAATTAGTTTTCCAGGACCCTGTAGTGCCCCTCTCCCTCCACCCCCCATCCCAAGTTGCTGAAGGGTTTAACCCCTTAAGGACCAAACTTTTGGAATAAAAGGGAATTATGACATGTCCTTAAGGGGTTTAGGGGTTAAAACCCCTTCATTGACTTACCGGAGTCCAGCGTCGATATCACTCCCTAGTTTAGAATTAGTGCATTTATAGGATGCATCATTCTACCTGTTCTGTACTATAACACCAACTGCAACTATCTATAAGAAATCAAAAAACCCTCTTATCATTAATTTGTGACTCTCAATTGTAGGATACAAGTTTATACTGTAGTTTTAATTATTATTTACCTTCCATCTTACTGTATCTTATCTTAATTATTGAAACCGAGAACATGGTTAAGTTATATATTTACAGAAATGTAAAAATTTGTATTTTAAGAAATTAATCATCAACTTCAGTTGTGTTCTATTCTTTTTAATCACTGCAAATAATCTGTGTTTCATTAAAATCAGTTATATCTATTACAAGATTTAGCTTTTTTTTTTAAAGCGGGTTAGTGTTGACTATGTGTATTATGGCGATGCATAGATTGCATCGGTAGATTCC